TGTTGCATTACTATGCGTTGGATTACTACGCGTTGAATATCCATGCGCTGGATTACTACGCGTTGGATATCCACACGCTGGATTACTACGCGTACAATTACCACGCGTTGCATTACTACGCGTTGGATTATAACACGTAGGATTACCAAGTGTTGCATTACTATGCGTTGGATTACTACGCGTTGAATATCCATGCGCTGGATTACTACGCGTTGGATATCCACACGCTGTATTACTACGCGTTATCCAAAGCTGCCGTTCTTGCGTCTGCGCACGCGTAATCCTTGCACTCTGATTGATCCGTGTTTTTTCTTAATAATTCAAAACCGAAGCTTGATACACCATTTTCGCAAAGGGAAGTCTTATTCAGAATCCCGTCAGCTACCCCCTATTTCAGGGACCTAAGCTAGTTGTGAGACACCCTGCATATTATTACATATCTTATTTTTATATTATCTCACTCTTTAAAGATCGTTTATAACACTGTTAGTAATAGACAAATACACTATAATGATGTCATAAATAATTGCTATAATTCAAAGTTTTGAATCCTAACCTATATTTCTATTATTACACATCTGATTTTTAAATTTTTTCATTTTTTAAGGCTTTTCTAAATCACTGTCAAAAACAGACATAGAAACGATAACAACATTACAAATAATTATAACAATTCAAGTTCTAAACTTTAACTTGTACTTAATCAAATACATCACTACCTTAATTAAATACATCACCACGAGTCAAATATTTGGTACCAAAATTAAAGATAATCGTTCCTTTCAAACAAACAGATAAATTAAAATAGAATTAGCATAATAAAAACAAATTGTATAATAAACTTGTATAATAAAAAAGTTAAATTGTACCGAGTATTATACACTCAGTGCAGTATATTTCACTGCATGTTTTTGTCGGTGGTCTTCCGGTATTTTAAAACATTTATCGTTTCGATTGACGTTAAATGAGGGCGACAAAAAAGCGGCAGAAGCGAAACGGACAGTGTCGGACAAAAGCAAGAGCAGTGATCGGAACATGGGGACATTTGTTTTTGTTTTGTTGTTATACGAACAGGATACTTACAATTCATGTCCACGTGAACAGACGAGGAGAGCGGAATCGACCTATTGTTATTCGTCGCGTTGCAGGTCAGCACCGAACGGACATCGTCCCGTCCTAAATTTTTTATAACGAGCTCGCTACGCGTCACGCCGTTTCTCACTGTTATGGTTTTGTTGCTGACAAGCTTGTCGTCACGGTGCCATGACACTGTCGGTGCTGGTTTACCTGAAATCAAATTCAGTTTTGTTAATTTCGATTTTTTGCGATATTAGTTTTATGCAATCACGGCTCTGTCAATTACCTGACAATTTTGCGGAAATATTTTCGTTATTTTGATGGAGTCATTTTAATTATTGTTGAAATGCATCACTTTAATTATTTTTGAAATCTACACCCTTTTAATTGTTATTTGAATGATGTACATCTCTTTAATTATTATTGAAATGATATACATCTTTTTAATTATTATTGAAATGATATACATCTTTTTAATTATCATTGAAATGATATACATCTTTTTAATTATTAAATCGTGAACATCGTTTTAATTATTACAGCATGTACTTCATTTTGTTACACGATGCTTCATTTTTTATTATTAATGAAATTATTTTTAAATAACGAATATTATTGATAGTGGGACAGAAAATAAAAAATTATATGATATACGTCTCTTTAATTATTATTGAAGTGATGTACATTTTTTTAATTTTTAAATAATGAACATTGTTTTAATTATTACAGCATGTACAGAATTTTATTACACAATGGATTTCAATTGCCAGTTAAATTTGTAAATGGGGACAATTGATGGAGGGACATAAAATAAAATATTGAAGTTGGAAAACTCGGGCTCATAAATAATTTATCAATTGTTTTAGCTGTAACATAATTTCTGTTACCACCAAAAGCAAGTTTTTTTATCAGCGATAACCTCGGAATATAGCCTGTTACTCTTGTTATTAGACGAGCTTTCGATCGCAGCCCCGCTATTCCATGTATTTTAACGATTCATAAATCCAATATCAAGTCTGTTTATAACTCTGGCGAAAATTGCACGATCAAAAGCAGTCGCTGCGGCAGTACGGCGTTTCATAAAATTCCAATACATCGTGTCCATAAAAACGAACTTATTTCCGCGTTCGCCTCTCGATTTACCGAAACCGTGTTAATTTTTTTTACAAGCTCGTATAGTTTTAATTTGATCTAATACTCGTATCGAGTGGGAAAGCAAAGGCACTCGTCGTTCGCAACGAGTTTTCGACGAGTTGCTAAAAATTAGATACGAAAATCCCGAGTGCCCTTGGGTGTATCAAACGAGGATACTTGGTGTATTTCGGTATGTTCAAAAAGCGGGTATTATAACGTGTGTTCGCCGGAGAGAGATAATACTCGAGAGGTCGATTAAAGTCAACGAGAGTTTTAAAGCCGTCGCACGCAACCGGTGTAAACTCGATCGCAAACGAGTCTTTAACGACCAGGCGATAGCTCGCGCTCGTTTTTGGGAATTGCGTGGAATGTTTCAACGATCCACCCTCGAGTGGACCACAGGAACACGAGGTGACGCGGTACTCACCGCCGTACACGTCGCAGTAGAGCCGCAGAGTGTCACCCTCCATGTACGGGCCCACCATGGAGTTCCGTGCGATCCCCGAGTCATCGACGATCACGATTTTGTGCGGTGGAACTGCAACAGCAAATACCACAAAATTAGTATGAAATATTCATGATTTCATTATTTTCTGCGGTGGGACGAAATCAGTATCAAATATTTATGATCTCATTATTTTGGGGAACATCGTAGAAATAGCGCGAAATCAGGATGAAATATTCATGGTTTTATTAGTTTTTGAGATAGAACTGGACCATCAAAAATTTTGTACAAAATGAGAATATTCATCATTTTATTAGTTTCTGTTTGGACATTAAAGTCGTACAAAATCAAGTACTTTATGTGTATGGTTATTTTCTGTGGTCAAAAAAATAGTACAAAGTGGTTAAGTATTTATGATGTTATTAGTTTCTGTAGGATATTAAAGTCGTATAAAATCAAGTATTTATAATTTTATTTTGTGTGGTGGAACGTCAAAAAACAATATAAATTGAATATCAAATATTAATATTTTTATTACTCACTGTGGTAGAACGTCAAAAAGATAGTACAAACTGGTTAAGTATTTATGACTTTATTATTTTGTATGCTAAAACTGGAGTATCAAAAAAATAATACAAAATGAGTATCAAATATTCAAGACTTTAAATTAAAATTCAAAATTTCATTTACGCTGAATACAGTTATTTCCAAGTCCGTAATATAGAATATTTCACTGGCACCTCGTGTTACAGGGTCACGTTACGGCGCCATTTTATACCGCTACGCGGTAAACTGTCGACAGTGAATTACGAACATAACCACAATCGCCACAAATATTGAAATAGCATAGTTTGTATCAAATATTTTCAACTTTTATTCCCAAACAATTACACGTTCATATTTTGTTTATTACAGCTGCATGCTCTTCGAGTTCTAAATATTATCAGAACTGTGAATACAGTTTATGTGTGTATGTGGTTTTGTTTGTATGTGATTCTGAGTTTCTACAAATATTGTTACAGTTGTTATAATTTAATTAGAGTTATTAAAATGGAAATTGTAGAAATATCATGTATTATGTATCATGTATCACGTATCATATATCATGTATCATATATCAGGTATCATATATCAGGTATCATATATCAGGTATCATATATCAGGTATCATGTATCATGTATCATATATCATGCGTCGTGTATCATGTATCATGTATCATGTATCATATATCATGTATTATATATCATACATCATGTACCACATATCACATATCACATATCACGTATCACATATCACATATCACATATCACATATCACATATCATATATCACATATCACATATCACATATCATATACTATATACCATATATCATATATCATATATCATATGTACAAATATCATATTCATCACAGGTATTGAAACTGACTGTCATCAAATATTTTTGACTTCCACTTTCAATTACACAACCACATCTCAACTATTACCACAGTCCTCTTCAAGTACTAAATAGATCTTTAGAATTTTTCAAGTTCTGTCAGGTCAATAAATTCAGATTTCGTTGCATACAGTTCTCAATTTAATTTCTCCCAACATCACAACCACAATCATCTCAAACATCAAACCCTAAGGTTAGGTCCATCAAATGTTTTCAACGTCCATCAGTCACATGAATCTCAACTGTTAGAACCAGCTACAAGTTCTAAATATCTTCAATTACTATTAAAATTTGCATTGCAATGTAAATTCTCCAAATTTCACAATAGCCATAAATATTAAAATCGATATTCACAGCGAAAATTCGACTTGCACCAAACACAGTGTCTTCAAGTTCTAAATATCTTGAATTATTAAAAATTTGCATCACAATGTAAATTCTCCAAATTTCACAATAGCCATAAATATTAAAATCGATAGTCATAGCGAAAAATCGACTTGCACCAAACACACTGTCTTCAAATTCCAAATATCTTGAATTATTAAAAATTTGCATCACAATCTAAATTCTCCAAACGTCACAATAGCGACGAGTATTAAAATCGATAGCCACAGCGAAAGTTCGACGTGTACCAAACACAGCTCCCACAATCCTCAGCGAATTGTAAAAATGTCCCGAACCGCAAGTGCATTCTATGGGTTATATTTCCCCGTTGTGAGCAAGCACAGTAAGCTTCAAAAATCGTGGGAGCATCGGTACGCAGTGTAAAGCCGGCGTTCGTCCCGACGTTGTCGTCGCAAGACGGAAGCCGTCGTCGTCGAACTGGGCCGATAACACGAAATTGGTATTGGAAGATCGTGGCTGAGATACCGCGGCGGCATTAAATTGGAATCTGAAATCGATACGGTGCATCCCGGTGCTCGATGTCGCTCCCTGAACTCCGGTTCGTTGCATAGAAAACGGAAGAAGCTGGCTCGCTGATATCTAGCCGTAGGTAATTGAAAAATTACCGTCGTCAAAGCCGACCTTTCGACACACATAAAGCACCATCTCGTTCGGTTTCCCAACGATTTCTCGTCACCGGTGCGCCACGTGTTACACGTAGACATTCACGTGATCCTGAGAAATGGCGTCAGAGGACGCCATTCATCCGCATTACCCTTTGTCGCGTTTGCTGCGTCATAGTCCGTTGTGTAATACATTATACATCTCGCGGATCAACTTTGAGATGTTACGAGGAAATATGGTACTTCTTACTTGTTCGGGACGTTTATGCATTTTTACACATGTACAATTTTTATTTTCATATGTTCATATTCGCGTGAAGCAAAATTTAGCACAGATATAAGCTTGTTCATTTTTAGTATTTATTTGGTGCAGTGCACATATCAACTTAACCTCTGTACATTTTTTGTTAGGAAATTTTATTTTTATTATAAACTAGAAATTGAAAAATGATAATTTATATTCTTGGCAAGTTTGATTGTGATTTTTAACAAGAGAGTATATTATTCACCCTAAAAATAACAATCTGACTAAATAACATTTTTACATAATTTTTGTATAAATAAGTTTGCATGATTTTTCAAAATAAAAGTATCGTCAAGAACTGCGATTGAGAAGAATAATGTTTCCACAAGCAATCTTCGCACCTCTCATTTAAATGCAAGTGTAGTTTTAATTAGAGGAAGGCTTGAATAATGATTCCTTTGAACCTGCTCACGTGCCTAAGGATATTGCATTTCCGTTACTTAGGTTAGTTGCCTCTCCGAACAAGGAATGACTCTACGAAACACAACGAGCTACCCTGAGTGCAAGTAACATTACGGGATCGATTAACTGTCCCTTGTAACTTAAACCTATTTGAACTGTATCAGCGGTGTTCCAACAGCAATCGTGGTGCACCCTGCAAACCAATATTTGATTGTTTGATCTCGGCCGAAGAGTATGTTAGATGTCATTGATATTCCCTCTGCGAAATCTGTTACATGTTCTGGGAATCTGCATAATGTACGAAGATAATCTAGTCTGTTGCATATTTTGAACTGTGGGTTATGGGCAATTGAATAAATGGGCAGTGACTTTTATTCCATTTATCGTGTTTGAACGATTTGGTATTTCATGCATTTTTAGAGATACTTTGATTTGGTTGGTTAATATTGAACGATTTTATGGAGGAGAGTGAGTCAATAAGATTATTGAATCATCTTTGTTATATGTATAACAAGTATATGATTGCGAATTTACCATGCGTCGAATTTATTACGTTTCGAATTCACCACACACCGAATTCACCACGCTTCGAATTCACCACGCATCGAATTCACCACGCACTGAATTTACCACGCATCGAATTCACCACGCTTCGAATTCACCGCGCTTTGAATTCACTACGCGTCGAATTCACCACGCACCTAATTCACCACACTTCGAATTCACCAGGCGTCGAATTCACCACGCATCGAATTCACCACGCACCGAATTTACCACGCACCGAATTCACCATGCATCGAATTTACCACGCTTCGAATTCACCACGCTTTGAATTCACCACGCCTTGAATTCACCACGCTTTGAATTCACTACGCGTCGAATTCAACACGCACCGAATTCACCACGCTTCGAATTCATCACGCGTCGAATTCACCACGCGTCGAATTTACCACGCGTCGAATGCACCACGTGTCAAATTCACTACGCGTCGAATTCATCACGCTTCGAATTCGCCACGCGTCGAATTCACCAAGCGTCGAATTTACCAAACGTCGAATTCACTTCGCGTCGAATTCACCTCGCATCGAATTCACCACCCTTTGAATTCGCCACGCTTTGAATTCAACACGCGTGGAATTCACCACGTACCGAATTCGCCACGCGTCGAATTTACCAAGCGTCGAATTCACCACGCTTTGAACTCACCACGCGTCAAACTCATCACGCGTTGAATTCACCACGTTTCGAATTCACGACGCTTTTAATTCATTACGTTTTGAATTCACCACGCTTCCAATGTACCAAGCGCCGAACCCGAATTTACAACGCATCGAATTACGTTTCGAGTTTATCCCTCCACGAAATCACCACTCGTCGAATTTATCACGCGCTAAATTTTTCTACGTCGAATTCACATATCAAATTACCCTCGCTAAATTGCTACGCTTCAAATTCACCACGCGTCAGATTCATAACGCATCGAATTCGCCACGCGCTAAATTGGTACGCGTCGAATCCACCACGTATGAAATTACCGCGTGTCGAAATCGCGTCGCGTCAAAATCCCCGTGCATGAAATGCACCGTGTCGGATTTCAACGCATGTCTCGTATCACCGTACGACATATCACTACACATCGGATCGCAAGCTCAATTTACCGTTCCATCGACATTCCAAAGCCTCCAAAAAAGACATCGATTAATGCAAATCCCAGACTGTTAAATTAAACAGAGAACAAGTGGTTCATAACTGCATCGAACATTTTCCTCTCCGTTTTCTTGCGAGAGATATCTCGAAAACAGAGCTGACTCAGTCAGACAGCCCGTCCGGTTCCCTCCTCCCTGTCTGTCGTGTCGTTTCAACCCGAACATCTCATTACAATAATTGCTTCGGCAGCCATCTCTCTGTCCGGTCTGTACTCGCGCGGATCACGTATCTGCCTTT